GATCACTCAGTAACACGGTTCTATTTTCAGAAAAAAAATAGCTGTTATTGCGCAAAAAATGGGATTGCAAGTACACAAATTTAATCTCAATTAGCATTTAAAAAAATAAAACACACCCAAAAAACATGATATCTCATCGGTTTACTATATGCGAGGAAGCCATAGTTTTCAAAAATCAATTAAGAAACAATCAAGGAGCAGACAAAATATTGCAGTGTTATTGAGGGTTACTCACATCTTGAGGAGAAATCTTGAGCCAACTAGGTGGGGTTCTCTTGTATGGCAAAGCAGACGCTGAAATACCCTTACTGCAAAAAAAATAAAAATCAAATGGATTCTTGAGTTAAGTTTCAAAGTGGTGATCATGACATTGTTTAAGGGAATAAGTCGAGGTATTGAAACACACCCTTTACTGTGCATACGACCCATGGTGACGGAATTTGGAGATTTGCTGCTTCAATTGCAGTCACTTTAGCGCAGCTCCTTGGTGGCTCTGTGAAACCCTAGCGAAAGAAGAAAGGGGTGTGGGTAAGGGATTTATAGTTCCGTTAATTTGCTTTTTACTCCATGGGAGTTTTCGTTTTTTGTGTTGTGGACTCTTTTAGATTGGTCCAGGCCATGGTTAGTTTGGGTCGGGCCTTCATGGACCGAGATTGGAGAGGTGCTCTGACGAAATTTGGCAAGTTTTTTATTTATTGGAGGAAAAATCTGGCAAGTTAATGCCAAAATTAGTCGTAGGATCACACAACCCGCAGCGCTGATAAAAATATCAAAAACGCAAACGGCCCTATAGAGAGAGACAAAACATGAAATGGGCCGTCTAGATTGATTTAGCCCACCAAAATCACTGCACGAGATTATATATATATATATATAGTTTTGAAACCTGGCCGGTAAATCCACTTGGTGCTTGGCTAACCTAGAATTCAAGCCGGACTGGATTGAAAAAAAAAAGAAAAAAAGTATAACTTGATAATTTGGTTAACCCAAAAACATTTGGCTGTAAACTTGTTAACTTTTATTTTTTTATTTTATTATTAAAATGATGTTATTTTAATTTTTTTTAAATTAACCTGACTAATCCAATAACCCAATTAAAACCTAATAATTTAATTAAAATTTAAAATTCAAACCTTTGATCGGGTCTTAAAACTGTGGTAAAAACCACTTATTCTATTCTTGGAGAAAAGCCAAATCATATTTTGTTTCGTTTATAGGTTTAGACTTGTGATGAAGAAGGTTTTTATGACAGATGATAAAAATAATAATAGCAAAGCAGAAGATAGTGATTAAAATAATTAGATAATATTGTAAATAAATTATTAATTATAAAATATTTTATGAAATTTTAAGGGTTAAAAATATTTTTTAAATAAATTATATTTAAATATTTAAAGGTTAACTGTAATGTTTTTTATAAAATACTTTTTTATACATTATTTTACGCAAAACAACATACCCAAGTATGTGTTTAGCATTTGCCAGTTAATTTTTAAATTATATCACAACGTCAAACAGATATTAAAACTGAGAGGTCAATAGCTGCTTTGAATATCTTCATTAATTCATCCAGGCGATTTTGTTTGCCTGCAAATTTCTTCATCTATGGAATACTTCAGAAAATCGAATGCATTTGCTCCAAACATAAAAGTTTATATTCGTGTTATAATTTTGCTTAATGTGCGTTGGTTACATCTTTCTAAGAGGCAATTTTATGGTGGTGTGGTTGGCATGATCTGCTTGCGATTGGAGAGCTGGTTCAAATCCTTGTTCCACATGCATGCTTTCAGGTGACCATGCCTCCGAGCAATGTGTCCTCTCCTCCCGACCAATCCAGCTTCTGATCTTTCGCCGCCCAAATAATGTCTCTGTGTATCCCATTCAGGGTGAAAATTCGCAAAGACAAGTTGATGTATTCTCTCTCCCTTTGTACTCTATGCTCCACTCGAGATTGTAGAGTGCCTTTGTCTTCCACACTTCTTTCCCCTCTATTTACCCAGATGAGTCTCATTACAATGTTTGTTTCCTCTTTTTTTCTTTTAGTTCTGCTCTCTGATTCGCAGTCTTTCCTATTAAAGTAAGATCAAGAAACTTTATATCTTTTATTTATGATGAATACTATTTATTAATTCCCTTTCCAATCTATGTGCTGTCTACGTAGACTTCTATAGAAACGAGGCTTCAGGAGCTTGCTCAAAACCTGGGGCATACAAGTCATTACACCTTCACTGACTCGGATATAGCCGTGGTTGATGACCCTGGACACACATGTTTGACAATCACCCAAACTTTCACCTGGCTCTTACCTTCCAGAACAACAAGGAGCAACGTTTTAATTCGAAAAGCATTGATCATGTTACTGGGGGTAGTATCTGATTTCATTCAAAGTACTGAAGATGAATTATGTGCTATCATGTCGGGGCTATCGGCTGGCTTGCTCTCTGGGTACCTAAGACTCACTACTAATGAAAGCACAAATACTAGTTTTGGTACAAACTCAGCATTGTTGGCTGCAAATGCGACTGATAGGCATGGAAACTGGAAGTTGCATATTTGCTTTGGTTCTGATTTCTCTCCTTCATTTTAATAGAGGACTGCTTGGCTACCATAAATTCTGGTACTGCAGTATATATGCCACTACTATCTAGTTTATTGTTTCCAAAAATTCCAAACAACCATGATGACGGAGCTACAAGAGAAAGTTGCATGACAAGTATTGCACCAAGTGACTGAAATACAAGTGCAGCCCGTAACTTCTCCTTTACCATCCAGCTATTTTGATGATTTTTTTTTCTTCTTGCCTCGTACAGTATCTCTTTGAATTACAAATATTGCAGCATGCAAGCTCCTTCATTATCTGGACACGTTTCATGCTTATACAAAGAGGGGTTTTTTTTTATGATAAGTTCTAGTTGTTTAGTCGATGATCATCAGCAGCACTCTTTTAAATTTGAGATTACCTTTCGCTTTATTGCCTACTTCCAGGTGCCTTTTAATTTCATTTTCTTTTTGAAAGCTACAGGTTTGGAAGATGTAATCTCTGGAGTGTAATTCCACAACTCATAGAAGACCATAAGACCATCCGTTTTCGTGCAAATGCAATCTGATCACCTTTTTTTGGGGATTCTTGGCTTTCTTAAGGAGACAATTTACAACAACAGCAAATTTTTTATTTAATTTTAATCCCTTTACTAGATTTTCGACATGCAGGCAATTCTTACACTTCCACTTCCACTTTGTATAAATTGAAACTGTACTTGTGCAGGGGTTGGCTTGCCCACAAGTATAGGATTTACGGTAAACAGAAACAATAGAAATCAGCCAGTGAGTATTTTATTTGTAGTGTTTAAACTCTAAAGAGTAGGAGTCCTTTTAGCCACAAAGACGAAGTCAAGTAGAAAAAGGAGCCGAAGAAGAGAGGAGAAAGAAAAGGGAGAAAACCAAAAGTAAGAACTTTTTATCAATTGATCAACAACTATTTTAACATATAGAAAAAAAGCATATAAATAGTGAAATTCTAGTTAGAGTTAAATTTGAACTTTAATAAAAGAATATAAATTAAAGTTAAATGATAAAACTAATTAATGACATCCAAGTTGGCTATCCTCCATCTGTCTCTATACACAAGCGTAATCTCTACTTGTCTAATCAAGACATTCTCGTGGGGATCGATCACTGAAGACACTGACAAAAATTCTAATTATGATTCCACCATCACTTCAATGTATGTTGAATATGGTGGCTGTCGGGACAAAGGGATGCACTGTGGAGCAACTACTAGGGTCTCTTCAATCTGAAAGCGTTTGCTGATCATCTCAAGGCTAATTCTTGGCAAATGGTTGATCTTGCAACAATTACAAGACAATCAAGCTGGCGGCTGGAACCATTCAGTGGGGAGCAGCACCCTCAATCTTATAGCCAGTAATAAACCGCAAGCAACGGGAACTGTTCTTATCTTGTGGAGATCACCGCTACCCTCAGTTCCACGGTCACAGTTTGGTGATTGCCGCTTCCCTCATCCCCGGCCAATGATGCTCAGTGGACAACAGGAATCGGCCTATTATGTTGGTGATCAACGGTACATCCAGCGTCAACCAATGATGGACAGTGGGCGGCAGAGATCATAAGCCTTTATTTTGGTGATGAACAGTTATCTCACCCTGGCAGAGCGATGCTCTTCAGCCCGCGAGATCACCGTTATTCTCAGTCTCAGTCAATGATGATGACCAGCAGGCAGAACGGAGCAGTCGTGTCCTTTGTCAATGGACTTATGGATGGATCACCGTTACCAGCCCTGTTAAACTTTTATTCCAGGAAATAACTAAAGATGTTTATCGTACAGAAGCCAAAATAGTCGACATGGTAACACAGGCATATGCGAAATTCTTAAACCACATCAATTTTGGTTCATTGGAGAACCATTATTATGCAAGAGTCTCCTTAAGGCTTGATGAAGTTTGTTTAAGGTGATGGTCAAGCAAAGGAAAAAGAAAATATGATCAAAATATTTACTATTGCCCAAATGCAAATTTGTTTTGTCGCCTTTTTAATCCTGCGTCCCTGTTGTCTTGCTTTCGTGTTTGCTCCGCCTTGGGTTACCGACGGCTTCCGCCCTGATCCTTGTTATTTTGATCTCCCGGTTGGCTTCCTAGGTCTCCTCAGTTTGTGCTTTATGGTGGAGGTCTGTTTTTATCTCCTGTTGCTAGTTTCAGTTCTTTTTTTGTAGGTTTCTTCTCTGTTCTTGTAAGCTAGACTAAATACAATAAATTTTGTGCCCTTTCTAATCAAGTTTTCCTCATTTATGTTTTTCAATAATAAATTTTAAATAAAAATCGTTGAAGGATTACATGGCATAAAATACTGGAAAATATGGTTTTATTTATTTATTTATTATAACTGGAGAGTACCTTAAGGGCATTTATGAAAACCTAAAAAAAAACCCAAAACTTATATATAGTTTGTTAAACACGAAACCCTAATCACAAAACACATCACTCTTTTTTTACCTCCTCCGCTTTACCCTAGCAACACTAGCCGTTCAACCCTAGCAACACTAGCTAAAATCATGGCCTTGGCTGCAATGAAACCTATGAAGCCTGGTTTAGAGGAATATCATGATCAAGTTCACCGTGTTAGGATTATTCTTTCTTCGAAAAATGTCAAAAACCTTGAGAAAGGTGTGTTCTTTTTTTATAAATTAAGGTTTTAAGATGTTTTGTTTATTTTTGTTGCTTATTCTTATTTTATTGGGTGAATTTTTTGTTATTTTATGTAGTGTGTGCCGATTTAATTCGTGGTGCTAAGGATAAAAGTTTAAAAGTGAAGGGACCCGTTAGGATACCAACCAAAGTTCTCCGAATTACTACTAGAAAAGCCCCATGTGGTGAAGGTATCGATACAAAATCTAGATTTACTTTATTAGTTATGTCCTTTCGTTTTATTGCTATCAGAATTGAATATCTTTGTGTTGATTTTAATTATTGTATGTTAATTGCCATTGGAATTTTAAAAATAAAATTTGTTTCTTTATATTGGATCGATCATGACAGGATCAATGTGTATATAGATGTTCAATAATTTTATTTATTAATTTTCAGGAACAAATACTTGGGATAGGTTTGAGCTCCGCATTCATAAACGAGTGATTGATCTTTTCAGCTCAACTGATGTGGTGAAACAGATAACTTCCATTACCATTGAACCTGGCGTGGAGGTTGAGGTTACAATTGCAAGCTAAAGGATCTGTTTTTTTTTTTATGATTTTCTTATGAATTGCAGACTGAAGTCTAGAAATTCTGGTTCTTGCAATGGTTTTTTGTTTCTTTTTGGAACAGTTTGAATTAGCTATATTGGATTTCAATTTCCTATATTTAATTGTTCTCTTCGATGAACTATTTGGTGAATCTTGAAGGCTTTTTTTTTTTTTTCAAATTATGCCATATTTCTGTTGATTTTTATCAGCTTTGTTTATCATGATGAATGGGATTTTGACAGAAATTTTAAGGGTGCGTGGATGTAATTATATTCACAGCTACGTGGATGTATTCATATTTACAGCTAATCTCCTTCATGATAATCTCTGGATTTAATTGCTCTCAAATTCCTAGGGACTTTCGAACCTTATACTAGGGTCTCCAAAAATGGGTGAAAACATTTTGGATTCAAGCTCCTAGCAGAATTGCTAGCCACGCTAAATCATTTTATGAGAAATATAATTAATTTGAACGTTCAGTTTTCAATTTAAGTTATTATGATGTGCTTGTTTACACTTTGTCTTTCTGGTTATTGACTCTATATTTACTGCCTCAATTACCATAAGCTGTGAAAGACCAAGCCCTATTCAACTTTTTGCTAGAGCCTACAGAGAAGGGATTGGAGAAAGAAAAAAAAAAGATTTAACCTCTTACATTTTAGTAATTGTTTTTTCCCCTTCCCTTATCGAGAAGAGCATTTAACGATTCAAAGAATAGAATGAGATGGGAGCAAAATGGGTCATATTCATTTACTGCTTTTGTCAGTAACCAGCTTGTCCCTGTATCTGAAAGCAAGAAATTATTATTTATGGATGATGTGTTTTCGCAGAAGATGCAATATGCTTCATGAGGAATTTAAATGCGAGTCACATGCAAGATGTGTCGATGCTTTCTTTGCACCTAGCTGTTAGAATGGAATTGAATGTCCTGGCAGTGTCCGGCGAGTCAAAAGTTATTTCACAATTAGAGTTTGTACAGTCCGATTTTCGGATGTAAATCGTGTGTTAGCTTAAGAGTGTCCAGAATTCGGGGCTTCCGCCCTGCAGCGAGCGGCGTTCAAGTTGGGGTTACCCTCAGAACTCAATTGATGAAGTTGACACTGCCACCTCCATTTCTATTGTATGGCTGGATCACTGCTACGATTCATCGTTCAGTATGGTCTAGGAATCCAACCATGACATGTCCTGAAAATGTTACATTTAATCCCATGGACATCGAGTTGATGATTTCTCTTTGCTGGGATGCCACCAGGGATCGCAGTAACAAACGAGGGTGTCATCGAGAAGTAGCTCTTCTAGAAATGGAAGGGAAAAAAAAAACAGCTAATTGCAACAGCTTACTGCATGCTAGTTTATCCAAAATGCTCAAATATTTGATGAGAATCACTGAGCAATTTACAGCAGACAGTAAGGATTTATAGAAGATGAAATGGGGAATCAAACTAATCAGCAAAGCATATGCTTCAAACACAAAGCAAGTGCATCTATAGACATACACGCACAACCCGGGATACCTTTCAATGGCATCCAAGAAAGTTTCTTGCCTTCCAACTCAAAGAATCATATCCACCAAGCTGAGATCATCCATGCCATTTGGAATAATATTAAATCATATACTTTCCAGAAAGGGAATAAGGGCTATTCCAGCGCCTAAGTTAGGATTATATGAAATGGAATATAATTGCACACAGAGCAATTCTCCAAGTTGAAGTCAAGGAACCAAAACAGTCCCCTACATGATGAGAAGATATAGACAGAATACAGCAATGGAAATGGAGAGTAAGATTGCCATGCTTTCAAGAAAATACTTCAAAGTCTCAGGGAAAGATCAAAATAAACAATGATGGTTTACCTCCTCCAAATCCATTGCTTAATAACTAACACTTGCATGTTCTGTCTGATGAGTAAATATCAAATTCCAATGAAGAAACTCGACAAACATGCATTGAACTAGAAATTACCAAAAATTGCATATCTAGAAATGAAAAAAGGAACAAAAGGTTGGGCCAAGACCACAGTGGCAACATTTAGTTTCGGAGAGATGGGAGCTTAATAAATTTAATCACCTCTGGCAGAAATGTGTCCTTCAGCATCTCATTAACCAACGGAACGTTACGACATCCTGGAATACATCATGTATGGAGAAGAAAAGGATAAAACTCTAGGTCAAATGCAACGCACAACTAAAATCTATTGTTCACTCAGAACAGCAAAAACAAAGTGAAGGGCATGGTGGACTTTTGAATCAAGAATATATGCCACAACACAGACACAAGCTGGTCTAATAGAAACTAACCATCAAAATCATTCACAACAAGCAAGAAAGAAATACCTGTAGCTCAAATTGTCATGGATATCAATACCAGACAGAGCCTTTTTACAAAAAAAGAAAAAGAAAAACACAACTATACAATAGTCAAGTGAATTCAATTTGTTCAGTAAGAAGACATATATGTGAAATTCACGTGTGCTATTTTATTAAATGATACAAGTCCAACAATCAGCATATGCTCTATCAGTCATGAATTCTACAAAGCCGAACTACAACAATTACATATTCCAAAAATATAGGAAACAAAAGATAAGGATGGTTCTGGCTTTGTTTGATACAGTGCAGGAAGTGCCCAACAAAACAAAATCCACCAACCAAACAATCTTCTTCAACATAGGACACCATATTCCTCCTTGTACAGCATCAATTAATCATATATGAAAGACAATTTTCATGCAGTGAACAACACAGAAATGTTAAGAAAGCAATTATAAGAATCATAATGAACGAGAATGTTTTCCAAGTACTGAACCGAAAAAATTCTACTCATCTTGCAACAGCCTTCTTGTCTCCATAGTAACTGAGGTACCACCGCACGAATTTCTTCAACCCTGTCTGCAGATCCGTGGTAGCCTTATATCCAAACTCCTTCTGAGCATAACTAATATTTGCGTGTGTATATGGAACATCCCCGTTGCGTGGCAACTTCATAACATTCCTTTTAGCCTTAACCTTCAAAAGCCTCTCCAAAATACTAACAAGATCAGTAACTGGCACAGGAGATGTATTCCCCAAATTGAAAACCCTCAATTGTGCCGGCCTTTTCTTCTTCCCTCCACTCCCGGTACTCTTCTCTGCTGTATCCAACGAACCCAAACAACCCTTCACAATATCATCAATGTAGGTAAAATCCCTAGCAACAGTCCCATGATTCGCAGCCTCAAAAATCGGAATACTCTTCCCCTTCAAAATATCCTTGGTAAAAAAGAAATATGCCATATCCGGCCTCCCCCAGGGTCCATAGACCGTAAAAAATCGCAACCCGGTAAGGGAAAGTCCGTAAATATGATTGTAAGTGTGTGCAATTTCCTCACCAGCTTTCTTAGTAGCAGCGTATAAACTAGCAGGTTGATCAGTTCTGTCTTTCTCGGAGAAAGGCACTTTAGTATTAAGCCCATAAACAGAACTAGATGATGCCCAAACAATAGCTGGTTGTGGATCTGCATCTTTACAAACTTCTAACAAACTAACAAAACCAGCAATATTACTATGCACATAAGAGCCAGGATTTTGCATTGCATACCTAACACCAGCTTGAGCTGCCAAATGCATAACATGAGTAAAAGGCACAATGTCAAACAATTTCTTCAACAAAGCAACATCATTTATATCTCCTTCCACAATAAAAACACCACCCCTTTCAAGAAGTGCTTGTCTTGCTCTCTTCAAGGTTGGATCGTAGTAATCATTGAAATTATCAATCCCCAGAACACCATCTCCGCGGCGTTTAAGGGCTGAAGAAACATGGGTTCCAACAAAACCAGCTGCTCCTGTGACTAAAACAGAGAACCCATTTCGAGACCGGATTCGGGCAGATGTCCGGACCCGCTTTTCCCAAGCAGCTCCGCCCCAAGTAGCGGAAGCAAGATAGCGGCGTGATGGATCGGAGGATGGAGGGTTGTTTGATGAAGAAGATGGGGAGCGATAAAAGAAGAGAAAGAGAAAGGTAACAAAGAGAGAAGACCAGAGAGTAAGTTTGGCTACAGAGGAATGCCACCTCGTTCTTGAATAATATGGTGATTTGTCAATCTTAAATTTGCCTGGTGTTGACGGGGTGTGATCAAGATGAGACATTTTCTTGAAAAATCAAAATGTGGGTTTTCTTTGGTTTTGAGAGGTAAAGGTTAGGGTTTGAATGAATGTAGATTGATTGGTGGTGGTGGTGTTGGTGGAGATAAGGAAGAAGGGTCTTTGCTATTTTAGCTGTTCTTTCATGTTGGGTTTGAAGGGTATAAGGAATCTTATTTTTTTTTCCTTTTCTTTCTGGTTTCGTGGAAGGATGGATAGGTGTTGTTTGGTGACTTTCTCTTTGACAGGAATAAAGAGCAAAGTTTCTTGTGTTTCTGTTAAAAATGGTGATTGAGTAGAATGGAGAGGTATAGGTTTAGAGCGGGGAGGGTGGGGTGGGTTTCAAATTTATGTGACGGGAGATCAAGAAACTGGTTAATTTTAGTTTGCTTTAAAAAAAAAGGTGTCTGAGCGCTTTTTGTTGTTGTTGTTGTGGTTTGAATGAGAATCTTCACAAATGGGAAATGGAGAATTGAGGGATTTGTAACTAAAATCAAAGCTTTTCTAACTAATTTCTATGTGTAAGACTTGGATTTGATTGGATGGGGAGAGCTTGGGACAGCCAAGATCTGCAAGCCCTTCCTGTTTTTATGGCTAGTTAGTGAGGCGGTTTCTTAAATTAGAAGATGGGGAGGAAATGTATGGACAGAGCACGGATGTTGTTGGAGATGGTGTAGATGAGGTTTCGAGGCTGATTATGATGCCTTCACACCTTTGAAATGAGAGTGAGATTTATTGGGGCTTTCGAGACTGAATTTATCATACGGGTGTAGGAGCATAAACTACTAGATTTGAACTGTCATTACTCACTGCATATGGTAGTAATTCCATCAATTTAGGTCTCATTAGCTCCAATCTTCTTGCATTGATTAAGGATTCAGGGAAAGCTTTGCCCCCGGTTTTCTTCCGTTTCACTCAAACTAGGGAGAGGGCCACACCCAGAATTGTACAAGAATAATAATAGGAAACTAAACCATACTTGTAGCATAAGAATAAAACCTCAAAATAATCACGGTCACAGGGATTTTTTTCTTACAAAAAAGGGTTCACCTTTTCTTCTTATTTTTTCCAGTATAATAAATCGG